ACGGACATTTTGCCGAAGAGCGTCTTTGTGTGTAAAATTACTTTGCGCTGCCCCAACCCGTATTTAGGACTGGTTATGAGGTAATCCACGAGAAGTCTGCATGGACTAAGGCGAGAGACGCGCCCTAGCTCACACAGTCTGCCAAGTGCAAAGTTGAGGTGTCATTTCGGCACCCGAAATAAGCCAATTTACTAGAACGAGACAACCACAGACATGCAACTCTACAAGGCCCCCTGACGGCACGCGTCAGAAACGTCAAAAGTCCCAAATACAATGCCCACCTACAGCCTGTCACTTAACCAACAACAACAGGCAGGCGTTTCCCTGGTAGCGCACGAATGTTCTTATCTATATTTATATGCCTACTCCCACGCTTCCCGTAAGACAGAAACTTGGGCCTCCTTACATAGGATATCAATATCCCACCCTAACCATAACCCTTACACTAACCCTAAATCTAACCCCTACCCTAACTTAACCCTTACCCTAACAGAAATTCATTGAGCAAGCACGTAAACATAAATAAGGACATTCGTGCGCTACCAAGGAAATTCCTGCCCAACAACAGTCAAGTATAGCGCAACAACAAAGTGGTTAATATTAGCATAAAGCATACTAAGTCACTCCTTTTGGCGAAGTGAACAAATCCATCCAACTGTCAATTACCCTGGCCAGTAGCAATGCGATAGCCAGACGGGCGGGCAGGCGAAAGGTCTGACTGCCACAACAGTCAACGAGCAAAAAGACAATCGACAAAATGCCGAATGAGGCGAGGAAAGTTGCTGCGCATCGGGAGGTCATTCTGAATAAATCAATAACCAGTATTTTTTGTTGAAAGCAAAAGAAGACGTTCCGCAAAACAACCGACAAACGGTTGCGGGTTTCTATATTAAGCTAAAATAATGACAAGAAACACTAAAAATAACCGGTACTATAATCAACGGTAAAGGTAGTCAGCCTTAATGTTCTCAGCTATCTCCACTTCCCACCGGTCGCCATTTTCGAGGAGTTTCTCCTTGTTGTAGAGGAGTTCTTCGTGGGTTTCCGTTGAGTATTCGAAGTTCGGGCCCTAGGGGAGGAAAATGACGAGCTTTAGGTCACGAACTCACAGCACACTAAAGACAGCCGGGAAGTCACAAAAGGTTCCGACCAATGATTTGAATATATTTGTAAACCAGGAAAACGACTTACGAAGGTTCAGGAAAGTAGGAAAACATAATAAAATACCTAAAAAGGTATGAGTTTCAAACATTTAGCGGCTGTGTTCGAGCAAAAAATGACGATTGGATAAAGAGAAAACATTAACAGACCCCGCGATGGAAGAAAAATTTTCGATTTTTTAAACAAGCAGATAAGCATGTTGTCTTGTTGACATTTTTATGCCTCGAGTAAATGCAGGAAGAACAGTTTAGTGAACGCAGGACTGATTACCGGAAAGGCCGACCGGTTGCGATATGGCAAATGATGCAAGTCATGAAAGAAAAAGACCCAACTATCTAGTAGACAGTACAGTTTAGCAGGGGTTTCTTCTTCCTCGTTTGTAGTTAATGGGGCCTGAGAGCTCGCTCATACGCTTTACGAGCCCATGAATAATATATTGGGAATATACTCTTCACTACCGTAAGTTGTCAGCAAGCAGCGGGGTCAAATGCATACGGGGATTGAACGCAAAGTCAACAATTCTCGCCTAAGGAAGAAAATACTAAGTGGGAAAACGATGAAGACTTCGAGAAAGACATTGCAGTCTATGCCGAACTTCAGTTCAGATTATTGGAGAAAAAATAAGTGCGCATCTTTGGATTCCCTATTTGGTACACGAAGCGGAAGACTATGAAACATTTGGCAAAGATCACACCAACAAACTACAAAGGAAAGATTAAAAACGGTGCAGATAAACAAAGTATTTCAAGCGTTAGCAATACCGACAGTCATATATACATGCGTACAGTAGTTAGAATAGGTACACAGATGCTTTAGAGGAAGTGGTACGATCTCAGTGGTCTGCATGCGTCGATGTGAACGTTAGTAGGTAACATTACAATTAATCATACGGCAATGTTCGTGGGTACACAAACACACAGGATATCAAAAACCAGGACGGGTGTGCCCTGTAACTGATCGGAGTACGCCTATCTACTAATGTACACTGACTGAGGTATTAAAATTTCATAAAAACACTACTGATGTGTGTTTAGTAGTATTGTAAGAAAATTATTTTGAGTTGACCTAATTGTGAAAAAAATCGAGGCGTTCGGA